GCAGGCTGCCAAAGAAAGGCAGGAGAGGATACAAGAGCTACAGGCTAAGGGAATAATCATTGAGACCGCCGAAGAGCGTGCTGCAATGGAAGACGAGCTTGAAAACCTGGTCGAGAAGGCACGCCGAGAAGCCGAAGAGATTGCCAAGAAGGAGAGAGGGTCTAAGGACAAAAAACTGGATGACGAGGATGACGACGAAGACGAAGACTTTGAGCTCTCAGGCTCTGATGATGAAGGCCACGGCGATGGTGAGGGGGACGAGCAAGAAGACGAGGACAACGAAGAGCACGAGCAAGGATTAATTGACTCGGAGGCAGGCGAGGATGAGGAGTCCGAGGACGAGCAGACCGAAGTCATGTCAGTCGATGAGTCGGAAGTGCCGGCTGCGCGACGCAAGCGACCAACTCGAGTAATCAGCGACGACGAGGACGAAGACGAAGAACAAGCACCTAAAACACCAGCCAAGCCGACTCCTTCAACAGTAAACTCCGTGGAACGACCTCGATTCCCTGGTGTGACCTCTGACGGATTGACAATGAGCCTCACACAAGCCTTTGCTGGTACACTTGGGGCCAGTCAACCGGTTACCCAGCCGGGCTCGCCAGGTATTCCGAACTCATTGCCGGACCCTGCACAAATCTCCCACAACCGCCGAGATTCAGATTCTCAAATCATCATCAAGGATAGCCAGGGGCAGCGCGCCGAATCGACAGACATACTGGCAGGTTACACACAATCCGAGACCCGAGTCTCCGAGTCACCAGCGCCGAGAGCCATGTCGCAGTTTTCTCAAATCCCTGACCCTACGCAGGATGCCGGCTTCGTACTCTCGCCCTTTGATCCGTCAAAGAGATTTCTGGAAACCCCCCATTCGACAATCGAAACCGTGCTTGTGGGACAAGATGAATCCCGGAACAACTCGCCTGTTCCTGACAGGAGGGCGAAGCATCTTCGGCGTGGGCGAGCAGCAAACCTGTCCATGATTCTAGAAGAAGAAGAGGGAGGATTCGAGATCGATGCCAGTGCTTTTGATGTCATGAAAAAGGCAGCGAAGAAGAAGACCCATGTTCCTTTTGACCCGAAGACCAGCAAGGCCAAGGAGATTGTGGAAGATGCCGCCGAGGAATCCGACGACGAGTATGCCGGTCTTGGAGGCGCCAGTGACGAGAGCGAAGGCGAGGAAGATGTCTACGATCAACAGATGATCAATGACAATAGTGGAGAGACGGTGGACGAGAAGCAGCTGGCTGCTCTGAATGCGTGCGTACCCGCATTGACTTGTCCGAAGATGTTCACAAACTGACCTAGCTACAGGCTCCACCAGAGAAATGCGGATGAAAAGCAGGTCGCCAAACTGCTGAAAGATATCACAACTGGTGCCCTCCGACGGCGGAGACACGCAGACGATGAATTCGACCTAGATGATTCGGACGATGAGCTGCTTGCACGTCGACGTCAAAAGCAAAGGGAGTTTGCGCGAATGCGAAAAGCTCTCCTTGCCGATGAAAAGATCGGCGAGATCGCCGAGAACCCCAAGAAAGCGGCGTTCTTCAAGGCGATTGAAGATCGCGATTCGGATGACGATATCGCTCTTGATTTCTTGGACGACGAGCAAGATCCCGGCTCCCAAGAGGACTCGTCTCAAGATGTGGCATCAGACGCACCACAGCAACAGTCGGCCGCCGAAGGGAGCAACAAGAGGAAAAGACCTCTCGAACCCTCTGCGGAAGACATCAACAACCGTCCTCCGCCTCATTTACGTCGCAAGCCAGCGAGCGCTATGTCCAAGAAGCCCGCCACTCTCGCGGAGATCCGGGAAACTGTCTCTTTCTTAACCGAGAGGCCGGAGTATGACTCCTTCCATGAAGATGCGTCAATGGATGATGCGGATGACGCACAGCACGACAATGACGATGACAGCAGCTCAGCACAAGAGCAGCCAAAGGAAACTTTCGCTGTTCCCAGCCATCCACGCCGCACAAGAGGTCCAGTGGTTGACCGTCTTGCACTGCTCCGGCAAGCGTCATCCAACTCTGCCACGTCCGCCTCCTCCAGCAATCGCCTGGCATTCTTCGCCGGTGGAGGCAACGACTTGAGCTTCCGCCCTCCTCCCATGCTCCGAAAGACTACAACCAGTTCGTCTTCTAGTTCTACGTCATCCAAGTCGGACTCATCAAAGCGAGTCGCCAAGCCCGCCGTTGGAGCGTCTGTCGCCAAGAAAGGTGCGGTCAATTACTATACTGCCGCAAGAGAGAGGGAGCGCGAGCGTGAGATTCGGGCCAGGGACCGCTCTGGCGGCTCGAACATTACGGCTCTGTTGAACAAGCATGCCAGCAACCGGCTGGGATCTCTGGGAGGAACGGGACGATGGGAATGATGATACATTGTAGGGTGACTACTGCGTATTGAAGGGTTGAGTCTGTCCTGGCGTTTCATTGTGTCGAGATCATGGGTTGGAGTTTTGGAACGAGCATATCATGTCCTTTGATAAGAGTTTAGCGATAATCCTTTCCCAGCAATTGAGTTCATCTTTCCTTGTTTGTTGATCGAATGGCATCGCGTTCCGTTATCTCCAACCATGCTTTGTGGCGTGCCTGACGGCTCAGGCAGAACCATGGTTGACTCACGCACACCGGATAATCCCTTGATCCGGACCGCCCACTTTGATCGGCGTTGGCAACAAAAAAGGCACGCTTTGCCCCTCAGCAGCGGCGTTTCTTATCTCGGCTCAGTCTGTCTGATCTTCACCCCTTGGAAATCGGATTTTGCCAACGATGGCGCCAACAGGAGAGACTACCCTTCCCGAGAGGCCAAAGGAGGCAGCTCCTCCTGCAGAGCAGAACCCCGTCCCCGCAGGCGACAAGCCCGCCGAAGAGAAGCCTGTCAAAGCACCCAAACAGAAAGCTCCCAAGCAGAAAGCGCCCAAGAACCCCGACAGCAAGAACAACAGCAACAGCAATGGCAAGAAGGGAGGCGGCAAGCCCAAGCCCAAGTCCGCCAAAGAGGCTGCGATCGATCTCCGCTCTGTCGACCCCGAGGCCATGTTCAAGGTCGGTTTCCTCGCCGATGTATACCAGGAACGGCCCATCTCCGACAAACACCCCAAGATTCGGACCCGGTTCCCGCCCGAGCCCAACGGCTTCCTGCACATCGGTCACAGCAAGGCGATTGCGGTCAATTTCGGGTTCGCGAAGTACCATGGCGGTGAATGCATCCTGCGCTTCGATGACACGAATCCCGAGGGTGAGGAGGAGATGTACTATCGTGGTATCGAGGATATTGTGAGCTGGTTGGGGTACAAGCCTGTCCGGGTTACCAATGCTAGTGATAATTTCGACCGGCTGTATGAGCTCGCGAAGGAGCTTATCCGACGAGATGGAGCCTATGTGTGCCACTGCACCAAGGCTGAGATCAAGGCCCAGCGTGGCGAGGCGGATGGGGAGCGGGGCAAGGCGAGATACGCATGCCCTCACCGGTCGCGTCCCATTGAGGAGTCGCTGCAGGAGTTTGAGGCTATGAAGGAGGGCAAGTACAAGGCTGGAGAGGCTGCGCTTCGTATGAAGATGGATTTGGAGGACCCTAACCCACAGATGTGGGATATCTTCGCGTGGCGTATTTTGGACGTCGATGACAAGGGCCACTTCCGCACCGGTGGCCAGTGGAAGATGTATCCTACCTACGACTTTGCGCACCCTCTCTGTGACAGCATCGAGGAGATTACGCACTCGCTTTGCACGGTTGAGTTTGAGATGTCGCGGCAGTCTTATGAGTGGCTCAACGACAAGCTGGACGTTTACAGGCCGATGCAGCGTGAGTACGGTCGGTTGAATCTTACGGGTACCGTGCTATCGAAGCGTAAGATCATTGAGCTGGTCAAGAAGGGTTATGTGCGGGGATGGGACGATCCTCGCCTCTACACGCTGATTGCCATCCGCAGACGCGGTGTCCCTCCTGGCGCCATTCTCTCGTTCGTCAACAACCTCGGTGTCACCAAGGCTACTGCCATTGTCCAGACGGTCAAGCTTGACCAGATTGTCCGCCAGTACCTGGAGACTACCGTGCCACGTCTGATGGTTGTTCTCGAACCCCTCAAGGTTGTCATCTCGAACCTGCCCGACGGCTATGAGGAGATGGTGGAGGTTCCATTCTCCAAGGACCCGGCTTTCGGCTCCCATCTCGTGCCTTTCACCAAGACCGTCTACATTGAGCGCAGTGACTTCCGCGAGGAGGACTCGCCAGACTACTTCCGCCTTGCTCCCGGAAAGACCGTTGGTCTCCTGAAGGTGCCTTTCCCTATCACCGCCACCACCTTCGACAAGGACCCTCAGACCGGCGCGGTTACCTGCGTCTACGCACATTACGAAAAGCCCGAAGAAGGCTCTGAAGCCCCTGCCAAGAAGACCAAGACCTATATCCACTGGGTTGGCGAGTCGGCCACCCACAAGAGTCCCGTCAAGGCCGAAGTCCGCGCGTTCAACTCCCTCTTCAAGTCCAACGATCCTAACGCCCATCCTGACGGCTTCCTGGCCGATATCAATCCCGATTCCGAGGAGATCTATGGGGGCGCCTATATCGACATTGGATTCCACGATATCTCCAAGTCTGCTCCCTGGCCCAAGGAGAGTGGTGAGACCGGAGGCGAAGTGAGCCCCTATTCCATCCGATTCCAGGGTATGCGGACCGCATACTTCTGTGTGGATACGGATTCGACGGCGGACAAGGTGGTCTTGAATCGCATCGTCACTTTGAAGGACACTCAGGGTAAAACCTGAAACACATAGTTCTTGAATAAGAAGACATCTGCTTAATTTTGTACCCTCTGGTATCTCTCGGGTGTTGCGTGCATATCTTCAGTATGATTAATGTGGTACATGTGGTCATGAGCATAAGGAGCTTTGTGAATTGTCATGTTAGAGGCGAATATGTGGAGCCATTCTGCACTTACCTGGACTAATGGCATGGAGTATAGATCCTCATTGCATTTGCGTAGTCACTCGTGTTCATCTGTATGCTTCGAGCTCTGGAATCAAATCCATAAGCGAGTGGATAATCTTGTTACCTTGCGTGTCCCGAGCGACATCCCCTCGAGGAAGATAGTAGCCATCCCACCCAGCATTCAAGGCAGCCTGATAGTCCTTGTCAAAGTCATCCCCAACATGGACACAAAGCCAGTCGTCGCCAGACTCGCCCTCGTCTCCAAGCAAGCGTCCAGCCTGCCTCCTCGCCACATCAAAGATGACCCGACTCGGCTTCTCCTCTCCCGCCTCGTAGCTGGTAATCACCAAATCGACATCATCCACTTGATCTATCGTAGACGCATCCCTGCCCCCAGAGCCAACCGCCGCATCCCTCTCCTCAAACCCAGGCAACCGCATACTCTCCACCCCCTGGTCAGCCCGCACATCACCCACCGTCAACCCCAACGCCCTCAGCACCGCAGGAACCCGATCATCCGAATTCGAAATCACACCCACAAGCACACGCTCAAACGGACCGAGCCCCCGCCGCCGGCTCTTAACCGCCCGCATCACCGCAAGGAACGGGGCCACGTCGTCGAAAAGCACGTACCCCTCGCGGCCCGCGAAGCGGTCCAGAAGATGCGACACCAGCGCATCGGGCACCGCGACGTCGACGGTGCTGCCCTGCCCCGTTGACGTCAGAGCCTGCGCGAAACTCCCCCGGATGACCTCCTCCCACCACTGCCGTGGCCCGCCATAGCGGCCGCGCAGGACATCATCTCGGCCGTAGTTTGGGTGGGCTTGCGACTGTTTCTTGAAGGTTGATTTGAAGGCTGCTTTGAGGCGGTCGGGGGTGATGGTTGCGCGGGGGAGGCCGAAGGCGTGCGCGGCTGCGGCGTATTGTTCTGGGACTGGGTGGCGGGGGTGGAAGACTGTGCCGAAGGCGTCGAGGGTCAGGAGGAGAGTTCGAGGGATGCGATGGGTCATGTTTTCTGGCTGGCTTGGGAATTGGGTGTGATGAGAGTGTTGTTGCTTGGGCTGGTGATGGATGAGAGACGTGGTGAAGCATTGTGACTAAGCGGATAGTATCAACATGGATATAAGCACAAATCACAACACCTTTTCTTGTCTATACTAAGGAATTGCTTGAAAACTCCTTTTCTCTCATACGTAATTGCTAATATTTGACTTTCTGAGTAGGTGATCTGTCCAGAATGCCTAAACGGACACGACGTCAGATTAGCAATAGCCAGAAGGCTGCCCTACGAGCTCAACATCATCTCAATCCTCATCTTTCAAATCTACAGCTTCAGAAGTGCTTTGAAGAGCAGTATAAGCAGCCAATCAACCCTTCCTCAGTCTCCCGCATTCTGTCTACGCAATTCGCCTTCCTTGATACCCTTGAACCTCACCTTCTCTCTAATGCACGACGCCGTACAGAAACCTGGCCGGAACTTGAAAATGCGCTTTTTGAATGGATTAAGAGGGCTGAAAGTCAGACAACCATATCACAAGAGGTTATGCGGGAGAAAGCAAGACAATTTTGGCCCCTGATATATCCAGAGAAGGAGATGCCGCAGTTCAGTAATGGCTGGCTCCATGGCTTTCAGTCTCGCCGGAATATCCGAAGGCACACTCAGCACAGAGAAGCTGGCAGTCTATCGAAAGATGCAGCAGGAGAGATGCTTGGGATTCGTCAAACCCTAAGCACATATGCGCCTCAAGATATCTTTAACTGTGATGAGACTGGTCTATACTGGAAGAGGATTCCAGATAGTAGTCCATCCACACAGGCGATACCTGGCCGCACGAAGGAGAAAGCCAGAATTAGTGCTCTCTTCTGCTGCAACTCTGATGCTTCAGAACGCTTACCGATCTGGTTTATTGGATGCGCGAAACGGCCAAGGGCTTTTACTGCTGCTGGTATTGACCCAGAGAACCTAGGGTGCAAATGGCGCAGTAATAAGAAGGCCTGGGTGACTAGAGACATCTTCAAGGAATGGCTCTTCTGGTTTGACGAAAGAATGAGTGGCCGAAAGGTTGTTCTGCTTATGGATCATTTCTCTGCACATGAAGCAGCGTATGCAGAGATAGGCCAGCAGCTCCAGAATACACTTATTATCTGGCTTCCTGCTAACTCAACTTCTCGATACCAACCTCTTGAAGGGATCATCCGCTCATGGAAAGCATACTGGAAACGGCAGTGGATTTTCTACATGATGGCTGAATTTGATCGCGGCTTTAACCCAATCTCAACAATGACAATCCTACGAGCCCTTCGGTGGGCTATTCCAGCATGGAATATCGACTTAAAGCATGATACCATTCGACAGTGCTTCAAAAACGCTCTTACTACCGAAGATAGTAAGGAGATTAATGAAAATGAGCTTATGAATGAGATTCAACAAGGCCTTCAAAAGCTCGAGCTCTCTAACAATATCCAGGAAGCCATGAGCACAGGCCAGTTCTTAGATCCAGCAGATGAGCAGGTCAATGATGATCTTGTGGATCTAGATGATATGATCATCGGCCAATTTGCCCCAGAGAACTGCGAATCCGATGCTGCTGATGATGATGCTTGGGAGCCACTTCCGCAGATTTCGCCAGCCGATGCCTTAGAATGCCTATATAAACTACGTCTTTTCGAAGAGCAGCAGGTAGATGCTGATCAGCGCCTTATCCAGCATCTGATGCGACATGAGAGGGTTCTTCTACGGAAGAAGATAGAGAAGCAGCAGCAGGCTGATGTCCGAATGTTTTTTAGTTAAGTGATCCCTCGATATAAGCATCAGCCATCAAGTTGCTACTACTGTATCAGCAACATGTGATGGATGAATGTCAACTACCAAGCCACTGTACAGATAATATAGATAATAGATGATACTCATCACCAAGGAGTTCACAGATTCTCAAGTGGCTGGGACGGAGGATGAGTAAATCCGAAATCCGAACCATCAACTATGCAAGCTGAGGCTTGTGAGACTCTCCTGACTAAAGGTTTTCTTATCATCAACCTCGTGGAGTATACCAAATGGATTTTGATCACCTTGCACAGCTGCAGTCAGATCGAGTTTTCCAGGTGTGGATACAGAATTTGGTTAGAAACTCGCCGGAGGAACTGGCGGGCAAGCTTGCTTCTCGGCATTACCCTGGTACTCCAGCAACAGCTTCACGGTTTTCGAATGGCGCTTTCAATATATGTTATAGAGTCACTTTTGAAAATGGACATCGCGTCCTTGTTCGCTTTACTGCTCTTGGTCGGGTCATCGCTCGCAATGAAAAGGTCGAAGATGAGGTTGCTATCATGAAATATGTTGCCCAGCACACAACGATCCCCGTTCCAAAGGTCCTTGGATTTGGCAAGTGTGTGGTTGGCCCGTACATCGTGATGACTTTTATCGAAGGAAATACATTGAGTGAATATCTCTGAGATTCGTCTCAGGAGACAGTCACGTTGTGTTCGAGCATCTCTCTGTCTGTCTTGAAGAGATCCTATTTCAGCATGGCTGAAGTCCTGCTAGAGCTATCGAAGCCTGAATTCCCGTTTATTGGAGCTATCAGACAGGACGAGTCAGGTAACTGGACTGTGCACAAGCGTCCGCTCACTTTCAACATGAATCGGCTCTCTCAGTTTTCCAATATTCCACACAATGTCTTTGAACGCCGGCGTTTCGACAATGCCGCTGATTACTTTGAGGAGCTCGCCCGTCAACATTTCTACCACCTTGAGTTCCAGCGCAATGATGCAGTTATAGATGAGGCCGACTGCCGGAAGAAATACATCGCGCGCTGTCTTTTCCGCAAGTTATCGCGTGAGATATCCAAAGAACACTGCAGTGGTCCTTTCCGGCTCTATTGCGATGACCTTCGCCCGGACAACGTTCTTGTTGCCACATCAAAGCCTGTTGTCACCGGAGTGGTCGATTGGGAGTTTACCTATGCTGCTCCGGTTGAGTTTACATATGCTGCTCCTTGGTGGCTCTTATTGGAGCGTCCGGAGGACTGGGAGCCCGATCTCGATCAATTTTTGTTGCGCTATATGCCGAGGTTTCGCACTTTCCTTGAGGTGCTTCAAGATTGTGAGACTAGAAAAATCAAAGACGGTTCTTTGCTGGAATCCCAGCGTCTATCGATCGCCATGAAGAACTCGTTGGAGACGGGGCTATTTTGGATTTGTCTTACTTCACGGCACGGCTCTATGTTTGATGAAATTTACTGGAGCTTTATTGATCCAAAATATTTTGGCCCTTTTACAACAATTGAGGATCGACTTGGTCTGCTAAGTGCCGAAGAGCGGGCGGCCATTGACTCTGTTGTCGAGCAGAAAATGCACCAGGCCAGTGAAGGAAATTTAGTTTCTCATTACACCATTGATGAACTAGTTGATCTATAAATACTAGTCACCTCTACTGATCAAACCATCCAATAGTTGTCAAAGATTGAGAAAGCCTATTGTCGACAGGTGCTTTATCAGCCAATGGCATGACCCTAGCCAGGGCTTCATCGAGTTGGCGGTCTTCTCTCCTTTTTATTATCCCCCTGAAACAGTTGAGGATGAATCCTCCCCACTGCAGCCACTCTTGGTGTACCGGTACAGAGATGGATCCAGGAGGTAGGTCAGCCGCCAGGCTTGGATATTTGGTCGTCTGTCTGATCAATCTTCGCTTTGTTTATGTCCAATCTATTTCTAGGTCTTCCTGGCTAAGTTTTAAGCTGCTACATGTTTGTGCATGAAGCAAAAATGTCATTCTCCCCTGTCCCGTGCTTCTTCAACTTCCATTGGGCTGATACCATGTTGTATGCCAGCCTCGAAACTATACATCAGGTATGAACACACATAGTTTCTGTACATCTTCTTTATGTCTTTATTTTTATAATAACTTAAAATTATTACTCTATTTCCAGGCTTTTATGCACTGTAAAGGGGCGGGGCTATCACAGCCTAGATATAACGGATAATACCCAGGTCAGATAAGGGTATAGCAATATGTGATGATTTTGCATCTTCTGGAAACATCATGTAACATTTTCTAGGGGTCTGACTTACCTAGTATTAGTAAGATATGAATTCAGTTGAATAGATATAAGACCTTCTGATTACCCGATTAGGCAGACGAGATGAGCTCAACGGCGTTGACAGAAGCGATTATTAGTGCTGCAGGGCTGCTACCGCTGTAGCTATCGTATCAGCTATCCATACGCTTCATTTCATGCGATATGGGCGAATAAGACGTCGATATAAGCCCAAGAAGAAACAGCCCAAAAGAAACACGTCGCCCTCGCCCGTTGCTGACGCGTCTTCGCTTTATTCCCCCACTTGGCGCTGGAAAGATGTCGCCATCTGGAAATTATCCCTTCCGACTAGTAGCTTGTTTCCCCTTGAAAAAGTCATATATCATGGAGAGTCCTAGATTGATAAGATCGATTATCCGATCATCGTCAATGATCACTGTCATGCCTTCTGGGATTGCAGGAACGAGATGCTGAGCTACACGGGCGTTTTTGCCCTCCTCGCCAGTCTGGCAACGGCCTCGCCCACGACCCAGTTCCCTGACAATGCCAACCACATATTCAACGCCATCCATTCCTCAATGAGACAATGGGGCTCATCTCTCCATCACAACGGGATGTCCTTTTTCCTCGCCTCCGTGCCCGCAGGCACCCAGCTGTACCACGGCACGCACCAGCGCGATCGAGTAAACGGGACAGAATGGCTCGCTTTTGAACCCGAACACGCGATGGTCTTTGCGAGACCGGTCGGACATGGTCGTGGGCCTCCCCCTGGCGGTCCTGACGGTCCTGGTTCTGATGGTCCACGCGGCTCTGCGTTCCAAAAGCTGCTGGGACTGATTGGCGAGACTGAAGATGACCCCGATGCTGGAGGCTGGCTGCATACATACGCGGCTGCCAAGGACCTGCGACTCGTCTATATCGACGGAATGTCCGCCGCCAAGACCTCGAACGGGACGCTCGACTCTCAGGATCGCATTTTGCTGCGGGATGCGCTGGATGACGGCAAGGGGGGCGGGATGCGAGACGAAAAGCGGCGCGCGGAGACGATCTGCCGGATGGCGAGGGAGGAATGGGAGGATCGCATTGACGGGGTGATCCGTATGGAGGCTGGGTTTGAGATTATCTTGTGTGATTTCTCTCGCGATCTGGACCTGCTGCGTGTGGTACGGGTGAAATCCGATGGTAATGGCCCCGGTGGCCCGGGGCCTGGGCCGGGACGCGAACCTGGCCGGGGTAAAGAGAAGGGAAAGGGACCTGGGGGACCGGGTGGAGCGAACCGGTGGTTGAAGGCCATTGCGGCCCGGTACCATGGGATCGGAGGACACAGGGTAGCATTGAACTACGATCACTTTGTCACGGCGTACGCCTACGGCCTGGACCTTTTCTCCTCGGCGGAGGGAGGCAGTAGTCTACCACGGCTGCAGCACCTGTCGTCCGCGGACCTGGACCCTGTGCGCATGGATTTACACCGGTTGATTATGACTCACGACGCGGACGAGTCTTCATTCGACTGGCAGGCCGTCACGGATATGGTGATTGAGCGCTATGCGCACGAGCTGCGGTACCTGGCTTCTGGGGAGCTGTCGACCACGGAGCGGCTGCATGCGGAGCTGGAGATCATCCTTAGCCCGTTTATCGACTACAGCGACCGCAACACCACGCTCGAGGCGGATCGATGTAGCGCGCAGTTCCTGTCTGCGCGCAGTCCGGCGGAAGGTGTAGCTGCGCAGGCTGTCCGGTCTGTTGCTCGGACGATCTGCTCGACTCTGCTGGAAGCTTGGGGTCAGACAAACCACGGGCTGGCAGTGAAGCACATTCACGATCTGATAGAGTATCTGTCATGGACGACCTGGAAGGAGTGCAGTGGATGCAGCGACCATGAGATCTGTGTTGTGCCTATCTGGCCGATGGGCACGGTGGAGGATTATGAGCATCCGCAGTGCCGCGATGCGAATCAACCGAACGGGGAGGGCTCTAGATATTGGGGAGGTATGGGGCCTAGATAGTTTTGTTCTGATATAACCCTTTAGGTTGTAATTAGTTAGAATTTGAGGTGTTCATTCTAGGTGACGTGTAGCTAGTGATAGACTGATGAAAATATCCGAGAATCGCACTTTATTTCTGCTTATGACTCTATCTCCGAGCACAACTGTTAAGAGAGATCCGCCCCGTGGGGGACATTTACCGGCGTGGGGAAGAGGACAAGACTTTCTTGATTTCTTCATTCTGCACTGACTACACCACCCAGAATCAAAGAACGAATGAGAGGAATCACCAATCACTACTGAACATTCTGGCATTAGCAGGTCTGTGGGACGTGGGACTGGGACTGGGACTGTGGGAATCCAATCCCCCGCGGAAAAGACTTCAACCGGCCATCTCTATCAACGCCAGTCCATGGGTGAACCTGGACTCGAGGCCAATATTTAAAATATCAGACTCGCTCGAGATGTCTCTATCATCGCAAAATATTCGGTCTACTATCTGAGTGTCTCTTCACCCATTCTACCATCAACCATGGCGCAGACACCTCAGGATCTCAAGATCGCCGTCATCGGCGCAGGTGTGTTGACCTTGCATCTGAGTAAGAATGCAGAAGTTGGTACTAACAACGACAGGTATGGGCGGTTTGACCTGTGCGCTGGCGCTGGCCAAAGAAGGATTTAAGCACATCGACGTGTTTGAGTACGCTGCCGATCTGGGGTTCGTTGGAGCAGGCATCCAACTGGCTCCCAACATGGCCCGCGTGCTGGACCGATTGGGCGTGTGGAAGGAGATCGAGGCCGAGGCTGTCGAAATCAAGGACACAAGTGTGCGAGGTATGTTTGAACCTCATATTGCATGCTCTGCTTAGTGCTTACCGACCGAGATAGTTGGCGCTGCTGATTCTGAGCTCGCGCATGTTGAACTCGGCTACATCCGCGAGACGTATGGATACCCTCACATGGTCGGCCACCGGCACTCACTAGCCAATGGCCTGTACAACGGCTGTCTGCGCTACCCCGATCAGATCAAGTTCCACTTCTCCACAGGCGCCGAGAACGTCACCTCGTTTGGCCCCCGTGCCACCTTTACGGCCGTGCCCCGCGACGGCAGCGCCCCCTACCAGGTCGAGGCGGACGTGCTCCTCGGCGCCGACGGCATCAAGTCCAAGACGCGCGTCGCGATGCTCGAGAAGCTGGGCATCACCGCCGACGTCAAGGACACGCACCAGGCCGCGTACCGCATCATGATCCACCGGGACCAGTGCAAGGATGACCCGGAGCTGTTGGCGCTCATCAGCGGCAACCGGGTGACGCGCTGGATTGGTGAGCGGCGGCACATCATCGCCTACCCGGTCTCCAATAACACCATCTACAACCTCTCCACCACCCAGCCCGACACCAACTTTGCCGCCGCCACCAACGCAACCTACACCACCAAGGGCTCCAAGTCCGCCATGCTGGGCGTCTTCGCCGACTTCTGCCCCATGGTCCAGCGCATGCTCAACTACGTCCCCGAGGGCGAAGTCTGCGAGTGGAAGCTGCGCGTCCACGAGCCCCTGCCCACATGGGTCCACGAGCAGACCGCGCTCGTTGGCGACGCGTGCCACCCTACCCTGCCGCATCTGGCGCAGGGTGCCGCGCAGGCCATCGAGGACGGCGCGACGATCGCCATCGCCCTGCGCCGGATGCCGGATACCTCGCCGGCGAGCATCACCAGGGCGCTTAAGGTGTACGAGAAGGTGCGCAAGGACCGTGCGTATGCGCTGGTCGAGCTGGCGGCTGCTTCGGGGCGTGCGCTGCATCTCGGGGAGGGCGCTGCCAAGGAGGAGCGCGACAAGCAGTTTGCTGCGCTGAGGCAGGGCAAGGGCCCTGTGCCGGATAAGTGGGCGGATGCGGATGTGCAGCGGGAGATTTACGGGTTCGATTGTCAGAAGGAGACGGAGGAGAAGTTCGAGGAGTACTTTGCGTAAGCTTCTTTTCTCTTTTTCTTTCTTTCTTTCCTCTCTGGCAGAGTTGAACTGTATATGTATATAGTTGCTGATGGGATAGACATCACTCTCGCGACGCCAAACTGGCATGATGATATGATCAACTCAAATTTACTTGCATATACTTTTATATCCAACTATATCTCTATCTCTACCTGTAGCCCCAAACGCCTAGACATCCACTGCACCGCAATAAAACACCCCAATCCCGCTGCATACGCACAACCTGCAAACACAATCCAGGGCCATATGAAATAGCTCCTGTTCTCCCTACCTCCAGACCCCTCCATGCCTTGGCATCATCACTAGATCAACAGTGGCTAGAATCTTAGGCACACGATGGCAACAAGACTATCCTCTCCCAGCAAAGCTACACTTTGTTTGTGATAAGATACAAAGTGAGTGATGAAGTAAGTATGACCCATAACTCAAATGGCCGGCGCAGCAAAGCGCAGCAACCAGGCGATTCAACAATGCTAGCATGCTAGCAAGAACTTGATACAGTCATACAAGCCAGAAGCAATCATGGCGCCCCCCTACCCGCCAAAATCCTGGCTGAATTTCCATACCCAACGCTCTTATGTTGGGCCCAACAAACGTAAGCAGTTGTAGTCCTGATGTTGTGCTCCGGGGCAAAAGTTCGCCCAGACCAACTTCTTTTTGATTTCTCTTCATAAAAACCCCTTTCCCTTGGGTAGTATCATAGCACCAGACAACTTGCTCTTTGAAAATGGCTGCTGTTGGCGGCTGTTTTTGTGGAAAGATTCGGATCCAATATAGTGGCCAGCCTATAACATCGGTGAGTCAGAGCGTTTATGTCCGAGGTACAGTACCTACGGATTGGATTGTTTTCATTGACTTAATGATAATAATGATAATAGGCACTTTGCCACTGTTTCGATTGTCGCAAACTTACCGGCACTCTCTACACATATAATTTTGTCGTCAAAAGTGCCGACCTGAAAATTACTGGAAGTCCTAAAGAAGTGGCCAAGACGTCGGACAGTGGGAATCATATCAAGAACTATTTCTGTTCAGATTGTGGTGGGTACTACTACTATAAAACTGGGTTTAATAAGGCATTAGCCATTAACTGATGATTAATATTCCCCTAGGAACGCCGCTCTACGGGCTGAGAATGGAGTCTACTGGAACTCCTGACGAGACAGTAATCCTCCGGGCAGGGATCCTGGATGATATCAGAATTCTGCATGAACACAAGCCTAAGCTGGAGATATACACTGATGGACGCGTCAGTTGGATCGGTCCCATCAAAGGGGCTGATCAATTTGTTGGCATGCCACCACTCCCATAATCTGTGTCCAAGACTCCAAGTATATAGGGATAAAGCTAGCAGCCATAGTGAGAGCAGATTTATGTTGAGGAGATCTCCTCATATAACCAGGTGATAAGAAGAGATCATAGCAGATGCCGATGAAACTATTATACCCAGGTATAAGGTAGCTACGACGTCGTCCCTGGATTACGACAACCTACTTTCCGAGAATAGTGTATATAAACAGCTCAATCCCTCACCATTTCGACCTCACATCCACCAAGTCACTCAATTTTGCGCTTCCTGCAGCGCAAAATGGGAAAGATACACAAGGCTCCAAAGACGCTTTGGGCGGATGCAGCAGCTAATATGTGCTTCGGTTCATGCTGCCGAAAGTGATCGAGGATATGTTTGCTTGGGCCAAGGGTTCTAACAGCGCTTATGCTACTTTTCTAATAGTAATGGATTCGTCTGCGTGATTGTTCACCTCCATGGTTCATTCCAACTTCCAATGTACATTGTCTGGTCCCAAAATATCCACAGACGCATATAGACAAAAAACAAGCATCATTTTGGGCAGGCGGTTCATACATCACACGGTCGAATAGGCAAAGGATAGGTAGCAAACCATGGTGTATGCCGCAGCCATGTAGAAACGCTTGTAGGTCTTGCGGTCATACGCTGCTTTCCCCCCGCTGAATGCGCATCGAAGGCCCGAAAGAGTCGCAAAAATTACGTGCAGTGCTGCCGTGATGACGGTGCCGTGGTATATCCAAGGGTTATCCGAAAACTCATTGTCTCTACCGTTCCAAGAAAGCTTGTTAGTAACAACCAAAGGCATTATTCCAGTTCCCATAACCAAAAAAGCGGTCGTCCGGCGTAGAGCTCCCTCCCATGCGGGGCCAGCAATGACTGGCAACGTCAGGCGATTCATCTTCCTGTCCCCCTCGCTATCGTGGAATTCCTGCATATGGATGGTGAGCATGACCCAGGCTGATAGGACGAGGTAAAAGTCAGCCGGCGGCAGAGGAAAGGACGAAACTTCGCTGTGGATGATCTCGTCGATCAACCGGAACATGTTGTAAATCCCCACAGAGGCGAAGGCATTGCGGAACATAAAGTGGTTGAATTTTGGCCACACATAGCAGGTGAACGTCCAGAGCTGGTACCAGATAAAGAGGACGCAGGCTTGGGAGCCTGCGAGGTAATATGCCAGAAACGGACAGAGTATCCAACTGATTGACCAACGCTTGTGACCGCCGGCGACTGTGAGCAGACCGGAGGGAATGGGACGTCGGGGTTTGTTGATTCTGTCCTCTTCGATGGAGGTGACCTGGTTGACAATTTCGAAGACATAGAGATGGCAGATGAAGAGGAAGAGGGTCTTTAGGAGAACGAGGGAGAGCTGTAGCCAGGAGGTGCTGTCAAGCAGACCAGGAGTAGGCATGAAGCGAGCCAGCATGCCAACGACAGGTAACAAAAGTCCCTCACGGGCGTTGGCATGAAGGAGACGCCAGGTGATCAGCAGCTCTTGATGAACCGCTGTCACTGGGTGTATTTCTTGCATTCGGGTGCAAATGGCTCTGTGCTCTTCTGTAGAATTGGATGGCTGGGAAAGAGAGCATAATAAGTGTAAATGCATGGATGAATGGTGCAGAGGTAAAGAGCTCTGACGATACCGTTGACCATCGACCTCTAGCTTGACTATGGTGGATGCCATGTCAAAAGTGGGTAGCGATTACGGTGAATGGTGCGAAGCCCATGGCAACCTTGATATAAGGTCAGCTCTGGTCAGTCTACTCCAAACGAGACACCCAAACGAAGTAATTAGGGGTTCTGTATCCTGCTGTGTCAAAATTATGCGGTCCATCTATAGCCAAACATCATTATCTGCCTGGCAGAAATGGTCCATTATTGGGTATCTTTGAGGTGTAGGGTAGGGTCGGCTAGAGAACGGTTGGATACTACGGAGTAGCTTGAAGTTGAATGTCTTTTGACATGGAAAAAAGCAAGACCGAGGATCATGGCACTGCAGAGCTAAACAGTCAGCAATCCCTTTGCCCATTAAAATCCTACCGACAAGCATGCTCCTGCAATATACAGCTGCAACGGGAGAGCTGAGGGGCTGCAGTCTGCACGAGTTGGAATTTGGAAACCGTCAAAGTTAGGCCGTACTTTAGCCTGGCGCTAGGCGCCCGTTCATACGCTTAGGTGCAGATGTAGTGTCCCGAGTACCCCCGGCCTGCAGAATCTGAATCCTCTGCCTTGGAACTGGGTCGGAGACAGGTTGCCTGGATGCATAAGCGGCCACTGCAATTTGTTTCTGCTCCGTTATGCAGTTTTGATACATCTAGCGTTCATTCCACGCCTCGTGGTTGACAGAACAGGGAACCAGTAGGCTTGATAACAGTGGCTGAGCAATCAGATGCTCTGAGCGTGCAGTTCCACTGAACATGTCTCCCAGTGCGTGGCTGAAGGATTCGGACCAAACACACTTAAAGTTATCAAGACGTTGCGTGTGCTGACAAGTCATCAACCCCATCTGTCGGAGATCTTAGGTTGGTTTTGGTAAGTAATGATCGTGGCCAGTGATTACTGGCTATTATGGATGGAAGTATCATCCTCACATCCTGATATCCAAGGACAAATGGAGCTAATGGGGTGTTTACCCAAGAGAGTAACACCTCCACCAGCGCTGATCAGTAGTTTGCACTCTGATACCCACCATAAACTGGTTCCTCTGCACCGGGATTTGATCTTCGGGTCCTTTGATGCTAGAAGACTACCAGGAGGTGGAGAAGCCGGCTTAATAGATTCGCAAAGGTACGTTATCTGCACGTTCTGCATAGCACAACCACCTGCACGTAGCACGAAGGGGTTAGCCGACTTATAAACATGCAGAACGGATGACTTTGTCCACGGAGGAGTGCAGCGACATTGCTCGCTTGATGCAGTGATCTCCATTGCCTTCGGTTGGTCCTCAATTCCAAGGTCATGTTGAGTCTCTTTTGAAGGCTCACTCAGCACCTCGGTACCACATAGGTCTACAGACCACGAATGGCAAAAATATGTCTCTTTGATCGCATCTCTTCTCATCCAATGCCTGCGGGATACATCCGAGCAGCCGGTTTCGACTTTCAAGATACGCTAAACCTCCTAAGCGTCCCAAGGGGGGATCCGATGTTTCACATTCTTGTGTCGTGCCATACTCGCAGCTCGTCTTCAGAAACCCAGACAGGTAGGTCTGATCGCTGGCACCGCTGCAAAATCCTCCAATGAGAGCACTGCACATAACCTGATAACAAGTGGGTGCTGTATGGTGTTTGTTGCAAGAGCTTACAGGCGAGTCTAGAATGCTGAAAGGGGAACATGTTAGTAACCATGTCTGTCGATCAATAGCCAGACTGAGGGCTGGAAAAAGCCTGCTATTCAAGGAGTATCTAATGCTATCAGACCAGCCGTAACAAGAGCGTCATCTCGTCGTGACACTAATGCAGGCTCCTATGTCAATTGAGGAGTTAGGAGGCATCCGAGGCTGCGAGAAGCCAGAAGAGGAACTTACGCAAAGTATGACCTCAACAATTTTAACCTTGCGGGTAAAGTCAATGATCATAACGGCTCTAAGCTCATGCAATCTGACCATTGTCTTGCCTCTCAAGGAAAGCAAAATCCAAATCTAGTGCAATGAGGAAGGACACTGATGTACTGCGGGTTCAGCTCGAATGACCTTCACCTCATAGCGTGAGGGTCCTATGGCACCAAAACATGCAAGTTCTGGCACAGAAACTGGACTCTCATGTTGGAAATGATCTTCAGATATCAGATAGCCATCAGCAGGTGCGTATCTTGGATGTTGAATGTTGAAGGACACTGCGATGAAGGAGCAGTCAGGGTGGACTGTCAGAAGAGTTGGAAACATCCCAGACTGAGGTAGCAAGGTATCTACCTGCCTGTCCCATGGCATTTTCTCCTCAAGTCTCCCTCATGCTGAGTTCCATATCTTTTCCATCTCGTGAGAAGTGAACAACCTGACGGATGTACTTCCTTTTATATTTATTGACTCTATCGCACCGCGAAAATCGTTATCGATTTAGTTGTTTTCAACGCCAACAAGACGTCGAAGAGTCTCAGGTTGAGCAGTAATATCTCCCCTAGACCTCTTGAGAGATGTGAGAAATTTGGTTTGGCAGAATCATGGGACATAGTGTTGGTGCCTTAGGTGTAACTGTGTTTGATGCCTTATCACTATCGGCCATCGCGCATCGCAAATGAGATCATACCAGTGTGATGCATTACAAACTCACTGACTATATCGCAATATTCATGCATATTGGAGGCTTTGGAGCTATTGTGTAGCTCGTATACTTCCTCTTAGATGCCTGTAGGAGTAAGATGAATTGGTATGCCTCATTAAGGCTTGCTTCAGCTAACCGTTCCCCAGACGCCTTCTCCATTCCGTTTTCCCCCACGTCCGGGTTCATCTGCCCGGCCCAGTACTGGTCCTACTGGATCTCAATTTGCATCTACTCCTCGCTTTTCGTTGTCTCAGAAGCCAACTGATCGGAAAAAAGCGAAAGGAGAGGATGAAATCAACTCTAGTGATGCGGAGGAGTCACCGCAGTCAACGCCTCTCTCCACGGCACGTGTCGCGCCGCGGCAAAGAGGACGAGAATTAATTGAAGACTTGCAAGAGGATGAGAGTTGTCCCCTCACCTCCGGGCTGAGGAAAGCCGCCGATGATATATCTGATAGTGAGACAAGCCACAGCACTCCGCCGGAGGGGGCCGGCGACCTTGATGCCGCATTTGAGGCGCTTTTTGGGCCGACTACAAAAGACCGCAGGAAGAGACGCCGTATATCCCTGGACGAAGCACCATCTACGACTCAACCTGCAAAGCGCAACGCAGACATGATTCTGACATCTTCGCCGGAGGCGTCAGCGCCCATGGCAGATCCGCCTTCGTCACCGATCCCGTTCCGTACTCCAAAGCAGAATACTCCAACAGCAGCTTCTCAGAGGATTGTATCTGCTGCAGAGCGAACGCCTAGGCCTGCGACTCCGGCAAGTACAGGACCATTCCGCCCCCATCCTCGCTTCAAGATGTTCCAACCAGGATCGAGCAGTCAGTCGCAATTCACCCCAAGGCTCCCGGCCGCTGCGTCACAACTACCGACCCCTGCCCCCCAAAGACAGAAGCCCGTCTTTGTCTTGCCTCGCTCTCCATCTCCCTCACGGATGGACGATGAATCAATGATTCCAACTCCATTCTCTCCCTCCTCTCATGCTCTTCGTCGGCGAGGCCGTCCCCGATCCAGTACTTCAAACTACTTGCCTGGCGGCATGGCCTCGGACGTCCGCAGCTGGATCTTGGAAACGGGAACGAAAAGAGAACAGACGCAGAAGAGTTTGAATGCTGATTCTAGGGAGCACCAGAACCAAGGACCCACTGATCTAAGCCAGTATTTCCTTGTTCTTCGCATCATCGACGTTCGTCAGTCTGCGCTGGGCAGCTCTGGTCCGGTGGCTTTTATACATGGCCTACAAGTGACTGTTCCCGATGAGCCCGAGCATTCACTCTCACAGTCGAGGAAATTTCTCCTTCTTGGTCCGCCCAGGCCAGCTAGCTCGCAGTCCTCCCGTGCAAGGACTCAGATTCCTGAGTTGCGGACTGGTCATCTGGTCGGAGTGTTTCGGAGTCTGGTCTGGGAGGTTGGCTTGGAACAGGTGCATCTAAATGGGAATGTGCCGAGAGAAGAAACACAAGAGAACGAGGAGCTTGTGAGCAGTCTCGGGTGTGATACAAGCACTGAGCATCAGGAGAAATGGCTCGTCGGGATGGAATGGGAACTGATCGACCAGGGTTGAAATGGTCGCATGTACGCTTCGCTTTACTTGCCTCGATGATACCCTTGTTTACTACCAACCAACTTCAGATTTCCTTGTATGGACGATAGATCTCATGTACAAATGGTCATATTATGATCAGTCCTTGGCCATCTATAGACTCATGCAATGCTTTTCTCTATCCCTACCGGACACCATGCTCCAAAAGAGGCCAATAATCTTGACAGAGAACGGGAATATATACAAGAGAGAGGGTGTCGCGCACAATCACCGAAGACTAGCATCTTCATTCGCCACAACCTTCAAAGCATCCACAGCGACCCTGCATCCCCACCGAACCAGTTTCTGCTCCCTCTCAGACTCTACAATATCTGTCTTCGAGACCACCTTTCGTATGAAATAGATCAATCCCTTGACGACCTGCGGCGTGTCCCGCGTACGCAGGAAGATTTCCATCAGAGGCTTCTCATTCCTTTCCGCTTCCTCATCCTGGTCCACGTTTCTGCCTTTTTTCTTCCCACCACGTTTCGATTTCAGAGAGTGCTGGATGATGGTGATGATGAGGATCTCGAGGAAAGCCTTTGTCTTGGGCTGGAGGTAGGCGAAGTTGAGCGTCTTCAGCACGCTCAGCGTCAGTGCGCCGTCGGCAATGAGGCTGGCGTACATCTTGGCTAGGTTGACGGCGGATTTCATCGAGAGCTTGTTGCGCTCGTCGTTGTCGTCGCCGAACCCGGTATCTTCATCGTCCCCGTCCATATCGCCTGACTCGCCCATTCGCTTGAAGCCGTTCCACAGGGTATACATGAAAGAGACCTTCATGCGGCGGCCCATTTCACCGCAGAGCCGCCGTGCAATCAGCGTGTAGTATGGATTGTATGCCTCCTCTTCCATGGCGCAGTGAGTGAGCACGCGGGGAATTTCGTATTCCTGCGCTCGTTTCAGTCGAAGCTTCAGGAGTCGGACGTGGGCATCTTGATAGTCTGTTGCGGACATGATGGCGACGAAGATGGAGCGTCGAATATCGGTGTTCATGCGGTGTGCTTTTGCGATGCTTGCCAGGTCGGGCTCGCCCTCGCTGTCCTCTTCCTGGGCAGCAGCTTTGCTGTCCTGCGGTAGGTTGGCTAGCTCCTGACGCGCGGAGACGAGTGGATCTTCCTTCCAGCTTGCACCGACCAGCCACCACTTGCCCTTCTTTGAGGCATTGTGAATGTCCTCTCGTGAGATACTGATCGGCTCTGAGGCGCGGATGACGCGGGAGTTGTTCAGAGAGCCTAGGATTTTTCGCATCTTGGTGATATGTTCCGAGGTCACGCTTGAGCCAGGGGCGGATTTCAGACGGTTGTTCTTGAGATCGGTGATAGTGTCGATCATGAATTTTGTCCGAACTGACAGCGATTCTTCGCCGACCTTTGCTACAGCAGGTTGGATCAGGAGGACGATGTCTTTCAAGGAGGAGGGGTCATCTTGTCGGAGCTGGGGCCCAGAATCTAATTCTGTCAGTAACACATTCTTAGACAAAGGAGATTTGATAACGTACTTCTGATGACTTTGAGTAGTAACTCCGTGCTCTCCTCGTTGATCTCTTGCAGGAACAGCCGGATATAGTCGAACACCAGGGTACTTCCGACGACGTGAAAGTTATATAGCTGCGAGAGCAAAGAGATTAAGTTGATCATTTCCTTTCCTTGAAACTTGCCACGCTCATCCCCAGCTGCGTCGAAAGTCTCAACCAGCTTCTGAACGAGCTCAGCTCCAAAGTCGGTCCCAATAACTTTATAGAGTGCAGCGATGAAGCCCGCATGAAGGATGATGAATGTATCCTGCAGAGCGGATCCTTCGCATACAAGGCCGAATAGTAGCGTCAAAAGCGTTGAAGTGACGTTCTGTCGAGGGTATTCACGATAAAGCTTCTCAAACTCGCCGACGATAGAGACAAGATTGGCTTCTGACAGCTTGTTCAGATGTCCTTGAGCCTGACGCCTGAGTCTCGTGAGCGACTCGGATTCGGACGAAGAGGCTGCTCGTAGTGAGGGGGGAATGTATTTGTTGGGTTTGTTCTCGGCCGACGGAGCGACAGGCGCAACGTATGGATTTTCTCGTCTCTTTGCGGCGGGCTTCTCTTCCACCTCGTCTTCATCTTCGTCATCATCCATATCGTCAAAGTCATCTTCATCGTCGTCAAAATCTCCAAGCCCCTCATCACTTCCCAGCTCGCTGTCGTCTTCCTCCGAATCGTCCTCTGGCGCAAGACCCTGCGCTTTCCTCCTCTTGTTCCTCAGCCATTCATCGGCCTCTCGTTTGCGCTTCCGACTTTCGTCGGCAGACCCGTCGTCCAAATCTCCCAGCAAGTCGAGCAGTCCATCCTCTTCGAATGACTTTGGCAGCTGTTTGCCCTTCTTCAATCCCAGCTTTTTCTCCAGCGCCGCGATCTCAGCATCGTCCTCGTCAAGCTTGTCTTTCACCGCCTGAGAAACCTTGCGGGGCTTTCTGCTCGAGGTATCTTCGGCATCATCTGACTCAGACGCTTCAACTTCCTTCTTATTCTTCTTCAGAATCGACTTGGGCTTCAGTTCGGATTTCGCAGATTTCGACTTCGGCGGGGGTACATCTTCATCCAAGTCCAGGTCAAAATCCGAGTCATTCCCACACTCCGCAAGATCCTCGTCGTCGTCATCATCATCGTCGTCCTCATATTGTCGACCTTTCGATTTTGAAGGAGGTCCACGTTTCTGCTCTGTCCGTTCCGCTTGACGTCGGTCTTTTCGCGCTGCAGGTCCGTTCCGTTTATGCTTCTTTTCGCCGTAGTGATCTTTGATCCCCAGCTCGGCGCGAAGCGTCCGGGGTAAAGAGGTAGTATTGTGTTTTGGTCTAGGCCGCCTCATCTCCGCGACAAATGTACTGATTGATTATCGTTGGCTGTCGCAAAATAAATGTCGACTGGTGATTTTTTTATGCCGTCGCAAAAAAAGCTGCGGAGCGGAGGCGGAAGTCAGCAAAGGCGGTGTGGGCTGGGTTGCGGAGATTTGTCTCCCCACCATGACAGCGTAGCGTGAAGGTCGAGATCGCAGCTAGACATTGGACGGCTGGAGAGATACAGACACTCAGAATCCCATTGAGGCTGTATCATACATATAGGTTGCAAAAGCTAGCTACCCTGCTGAAACCCCATCTGTCAAATCGCACAAAAAATCGCATCTCAGAGCAGACATCCCAGCACATCGCAAGCACGATGGCACCACACCTCGGTCACGAAGAGGTAGGAATTCCCTAACTGCGCCTTACATGCCTATACGAAATTGTCTGATCTGATAATTGAATTACAACTAATCCATCGCAGTTCTTCTCTTCCCTATCCGACCTTCTCTCCAATACCTCCCAAAAAGCCCGCGGCTCAGTCTTCCTCACCCAAAAACCCCTCCTCCCAAGCAACATCAGTACATCAGAAGAGACTTCTTCTTCGTCATCCCTTCCCCCGATCCTCATCAGAGCGACAGACGGCAGCACAAACGCACCGAATCCCAAGACAGCCAAAGACCAGAACAAGAAGGCCGCAAAGACATCCAAGGTCAAGCTTTCGACTGTGGTCGCGCAGGAGGATCTCGAGACATTCTTTGCGCGGTATGCCGAGGTTTGCAAGGCGGGTATGACGGGGCTCAAGAAGCGGGATCGGAAAAAGGGAAAGGCTAAAGCGAAGGGTGGTGCTTCGAAGGTTACCAAGGCTTGATCATGGGGTTCGGTGTCTGTGATGCCGCTGATGTTGGGGTTTTGCATTTATGGCGTTAATGCTGGCTTTCTCTCTCTCTCTCTCTCTCTCTCTCTCTCTCTCTATTCTCTTGCAATAGATCTAGTTGTGGTACTTGTGGTATGTAAAGGTACCTCACTTGTCATGGCATATGGTTTGCTGGTTGTCTGGACCCAGTTTGCCTTGTCCAGTATCAATGCGTCATCTGCGAAATTCAATGGAAACGGGTATATTGATTATCGATGATACACGCTAAAGGTACAGGGTTCATTAGGGAAGTACATATCCAATGCGAGACTTGATCCGCCCACGAGCCTTACATATGCCCAGAAACAGAACACGAACCAAGCAAAGAAAGATCATACAGAAGGAGTCGTTATAGAACAAGAATGCTGTCGGCCCAAGCGGGAAGGCGCCTTGATGAGAAGAGAAAGGGCATTAAGACACAGTATGAAAAGGAATGGGCAAGAGAAAGAAACATATCAGACAGGAAGACGATGAAGGTGAATTATGAAGTATACTTAGTCTAGATCCCAGGGATCGAGCTTCTTCATGACATCTGATTCTGTTGCTGTTCGACGGTCAGGCGCAATTGGAATATCATAGTCATCCACGGCTTCTTGAGAATTGGCGGCATGATATTCAAGTTTTCGGTTAAAATCGCCCATTGCTGAGTTAAGAGCTGGGCCTAGAACAATTCTCGCCGCGATATGAATCAACAATATGAACAATTGCACTGGAGGCACCAGGACAAGGGTGGCAGTCTTCTGGATGATAGAGGCTGCATCTTGCTTTTCTGATGGACCATTGCTAACCAAAATGGACGGTGGTGGCATAGGCGAAATCTCTCGTTCTCGCGACGCTTTAGAGCGCCGGCGGAATTTAATGCTCATGTCGCTCAGGTTCCTTGCAAGATCAGTCTCAGACTTCGACGGGATGCCCAGGAACGATGTGGAATCCGACCCCGAGGACTTGTCCATTGGTAAAGTTTCAGCCCGAGAAGCCGTACTATCGATGCGTTCTACTGCTGAAAAAAATTTCTTCTCAGAAGAATCCGGCAGATGAAACGTCATGTCTTCCGCCAAACATTCCTGTTGATTCGGGAATTTGTCCGGGCAGGTGACTGATACCGGCGACGCGGTTGTCAATGGAGAATTGATCTCAGCGGCTGGAGATGGTGGAATTTCGATCGAGTGAAATGAATCGACACTTGAGGAAAAGGATATGTCAAGATCAACCTGCAAGTCGGAGCTCTCTTCGAATCTTGCCAGCAAGGTCT